AATTTAACACACGGTGACTGCAGGAATATTTGTACAGAGCTATATAGAGAGTTGTATAGAGAGTTGTTAGACCTTGTGCATTTATATTGCCTCTCATTTCAAAAATACCTACTGATGGTTGAAAGAGAGCAACTCTCCAGCCTGTGGAACAGACTGTGCAGCTGGGAAACCATCCACAATACACAGATATCAGCAAACAGGGTGTTATTTAAATTTAGCTGTTATTATCCATTCACACATACCTTTTCTAGAAGGTACAAGAACAGGAATGATTTCTTTTGTAAAATAGCCAGCTTTCTGTGCTGCCTCTGCCCTGTTTTGTGACTGTAAAGCAAATTGGTCTTGTTCCGCTCTGCTAACTTGCCACTGATTAGCCACATTTTCAGCTGGAATAAGAACAAAATGTAAAGTCAAACAATCATTTCAGGCCATCAGGAACTGCCATCACTATAAGTTTAAATTCTAGCACAAGGGTAGTCTTTAACATTTGCAGCAGCAGCTAGCAGCTGAACTTGTAAAGGGCTTTCATTCTGAATCTTTCATTTTGTTTGCTTAAGATGCTCTGCCATATTTTCTTCTGGGGAAACTCTGCAAATAATCTCCTAGAGGATATATCAGGTTAAATGCAGATGAAAACAAGCCTTTCTAGGCGACTGCTTCTCTGCATAACTATGTTCAGGTGTCGCTACAGGCACTTCAGATGAGAGGCCTGTTTGGAAGTAACTCCATTTTATAGTCAAAAACTGAGAAAGTACCAGGCACCTTGTACTGGAATATTCCATCCTGGATGGAGTAAACAGATAGGAGCCACAAGCCCAAAATGTACATTTCCACAATCAACAATTTATTAGCTGAGATAGAAAAAAAAAATCTAATTTTATATACAGTGGAGAAAAATGCCTAAAAATTTTCAGTATTAGGATTTACTTTCTTCCGTCCTACTATGGCTTAAGCACAACTTGAAACACTTGGTGTCTGAAACTTCAGATTTCTGAGATTTACTAAGAGTGAATTCTTCCCTCCTTCCCAGTTTACCACTTCATTTTCAGGATTGCTGCTATTTACCTGTTATACCCATATGGAACTGATAAAACGCATCAGTAAGGCCATCACAGATTATCGTGTCCTGCAAGGAAGCCTCTCCCATTTTTACTCCATTTCGCATGTGAATTACGTGAGGGGCCTGCAAGTGGGTGTTTGGAAAAAAAGAGTTAGATTTTTAAACCAGGAGCACAGGATATAGACAGCTGGATAGGTAACCTGCCAGAGAGACACACACCTGCTTTAGGGCTGGGGATAGCAACCCTGAACCCCAGCTCACTGCTCACTTCTCCTCCCTGCAGTCCTCTTCACACACTCCTCTCCTGCATAACAAGATCCTTTTCCTCAAACACCACAGTGCAGAAGAAACTTTGTGGCAAGTTTAAAAAAAAAAAAAAAAAAAAAAAGGTCCTCAAGGTCCTCAGCCAGTCAAAATCTAAGATTCTCAAGCTGTCACCCTCTGAAGTCTAACACTGGCATGCTGCACTTGACCTGCGTACTTCCGAGATAACAGACCACACAGAGTGAATTAAACAACCCTGTGAGCCAATATGGGCTGTACTGGCCTGCTCTAAATCATTCCTTGTTGGGCATCAGCTCATCTGCCCAGAACCAATCATCTCACATGGCCTGAGACTGAAAACAGTGAAATCAAAGTGTTTTATTTTCTTTTCAAGCTCAAATTACTTCGTAAACATTCAGTCTGCATGCGAGTAATGCTCTCATTTATACTGTGCTTGGATCTTCTGCAGCATTAAAAAAAAAAAAAAAAGGAGAAGCTTTTGCTAGTTGTCACAAGCAAATCGTTCATCACTATAGGCACAGGGGAAAATTAAAATTGTGTTTTAAATGTGATATATCCTTGCATGGTACCAGTTTAGTAGCTAATTTCCTCTTTTTTTTTTTTTTTTTTTTTTTGTTTCTCTGGCTACTAAAACCAATTGTTGCAGGTAAAAGTTCAGAACCTGATGCTACTCTTACAATCTGCCCTCAAGATATTAGCCTAGAAACACAACTTAAACAGGGCTGCTGTGTGTTCCCAGTAAGTGAGAAAATCAGAGCATTTACCTTGCTCATGCTTTCCATGCCTCCTGCCACCACAATACTGGAATCTCCCACCAGGATGGACTGAGCAGCCAGACATACCGCCTTCAAGCCAGAGCCACATATCATCTGACAGCTCCAAGCAGGCACAGAGTAGGGAATTCCTGCCCCAATGCTCGCCTGCCGAACAGGGTTCTGACCAGCACCTGCAAAAACATGCTGTGTTTTTCCGTTGTTGGTTCTTAAAGACCAAACTCACCACTTTGCGCAAAATGTGGACTTTATTCTACCTAAATGCAAACCTTATTCCTGACTTTAACTGGTAGATAAAACAATTCCTAAAAGTGTGTTATCAATAAGAGCTCAACCACCTCTTCATTTATATTGCAGACTAATGCAATATTTGCAGTATATTGCAGACTAATGCAATATTTGCTGAGCCAGGGACTTTGGCCACTTGTTACAGGTACATTACGTCTGTAACGCTATTTTGACTCCAGGAGTGGATGAAACAAACTGTCCAATTTCAAATTAGCACTATACAGATGCACTTTTATAAGATAATGCTCTCTTTTAACTGCAAATAGCTGAAGGGTCTATTTCTGACATTTTCTGGAAGCCATGCACAACCAGCTCTCCACAAATGCACAGACAAAAGCTCCCACTCTTTGTCTGCAATCTCAATGGAGTGAATAGAAGCACTATATTCAAAGAAAACCTTCTTCATCTTGATCTCCCCAGGCCGAAGTCGTGCCAGCTCTTTTGTACGACGTAGAGACACAGACCAAGGGAGTACAGCAGGCCGAAAACATTCGGAAAGCGGAATCACCTTTACGTGCGATACTGAAGCAGCCATTTCACCCCGCACACACCCTTTGTTAAGGCACCATCACCCCACGCCCCTGCGGACGGTGTTTCCGCACGCCCCCACACGCCATGGCGTGAGACCACGCGGGGCTCCTCCTCACGCACCTGCGGGCAGCACCTGGCCCACGATGACCTCCGACACCTCCTCGGCGCCCACGCTCGCCCTCCTCAGCGCCTCGCGGATGGCCACGGCGCCCAGCTCGTGCGCGTGCAGCGCGGACAGGGCGCCGGCGCCCCGGCACAAAATGGCGCCCGCCAGGCTGGGCGCTTCGTGGCGCGGCTCGGAGCTGGGGAGGTGACAGCGTCTGCGGTCATCTCCCCTCCGGCGATGATCGGCCTAGAGTCCATGTCCTGGAGCCTAGATCCTGTCGTGCGTCTTTTATTTATTTATTTTTAATGGGATCCCCCCTGCTGCGGGCTCTTATGATTCTGGTCAAGGCACTAATCTGGACTTCATTCAGCTACCTCCCATCAGCCCTTGCCAAGGACTATTTTGGTTTTTTTTTTCAAAATAAAATGCACAGGTCAAGCAATCTGTTAACAGTGAATGCCTTGTGGCTTTAAATACTTTTTTTTTTTAGCTTTATAGTAGCATTTCATAGCATCCATGTGACCAGATTTAAAAAAAAAATCAAAAAAAAAATTAAAATCAATCAAAATTACCTCTCAATGTTAAGTCTACATAACAATCATTAACTGAAGTCCAGTGGTCAATCACCAAACCCCAAAGCACATCTGTCTTTAAAAAAAAAAAAAAAAAAAAAAAAAAAAAAAAGCTGAACAGACTGAAACCCCTCGGCTCTCTCCCAGCCTGGTTCCGAGTCCACGTTCCTTGCTGTGCTGGACCAGTGCAGGCTGAACCACTAAGCTGACACTCGGCCTAGGGGCCCTGACAGCCGAAGCACTGTGCTTGACTTTGTGCGGAAAAATCTCGCTGTCAAGAACTGAATGTCCAAAAAGGAGACAGAGGAGTCCTAAAACTTTATTCGAATAAAGGGAGAGTCCACCGGGCATATCCCTGTG